TGCACTATTAATCGTTATTACAACTCTCTTATTACGGACAACAAACTCCTCTAGCCACAGTAATAATACTGCTTATTCAACTTTATTCAGGAATGCTGTAACTGGCGCTGTTTCTACTGCTTGATTCCTTCTTCATTACTACTATGTTGCTACTGTGAATGCTTTTATTGTCCGTAATACAGTTTTTATTGGATCAATAAAATTGACGATTCGTTCCGGTATAGCTACGTGGGTTGTCATGTGTTCTGTCCGCATGTCCCTCATCGTAGAATGCTGGAACTTCGCAAACCACACCCTATTATTGCCCCGTGTTCATCGATTATTCCTTTGCCGAAAGTTACGGTAGCAGTTAGTCTATGACTCTGTAAAAATCATAGAGGTATTATGGTGCAACTCCCTCAGTGGTTTACATTGTAGTCCAAAAACCTGTGTAAGATACAGCTAGCAGGAGCTTTGCTATAGGGTTGGCAAAAAGACCAGCGTTCTGAACAAATTGTTCGAGAAAAAAAAACAGAACACGTTTAAAATGTTCTAACCACCTATTGGTGAAAATTGTTCCCCTGAGAATTTCGCAGGTTAGAGCTTTGTGGGACTTTTCAGAGCTTGAAAGACCTACAAGGGTTGAGAAACTCGTCGATATATTCTGATGCCAACGGGATATGGAGACGGCACCCGGGTGTCACTATCCCCAGCCTCGTTCCCGTGCACTTTCGTCCGGAGAAAACGGCACGGTTTCGCAGCTATGAACCCATTTTCCCTTACATTGCAAAGTCCAGAATTCATAAGGTGAATGTACAGATTGCCTTTAAATAGTGGCAGTTTTTAAGAAATGCTCAATCTTTGCGTGAACTCTTTTTAAAGAGATCATTCTATGAGGTCATGCTCATAGTTTAATGTACACAATAAACGCTATTATTTGGAATTTTTTAGACATTGCAAGATGAAGTGTTAGATCGAGGGATGGTTGCGCCTTCTGCGAGTTCTTCTCTACGAGTACAAACGTCACAACCTTCGTACTTATCTCGCGTATCGGATTACTACCTTCTGAGCCCTTAACACTACCTTACTACCTTTACTACCTCGCTACCTTCATATGAACTGACAGAAACTCGCGATAATAAGCCTGTTTTTCGAACCTTGTGTTGAAGAATCCATTCCCGTGGAGGACTACAG